TTTTTTTTTTTTCTTTTTCTATGATTTTGTTTTCTGGAAAGTCCATTTGTGACAACTCCGTGCGTTTCGTGTTTTAATTTTGACCAAAGTTAAGAGTGACGATAAAACTTTCTCGTTGATTTGCGAAAATGGCCGAGAACATGCATTAGATATGGCTGTCAGTAACTTGCAAACAAACTGGTTAATGAAACTGAAACAACCAATTTTCAGTTGATTTTTGCAATATTTTTTAAAAGAGCTACCGTGCTCAATTTTGCAATATGTGTCTTAATAAATATGTGTTATTAACCAAGCGTGAGGTCAAGATGCCTGGATATTGACCAAGATGGGCTCGTCTTGCCCGCGCGTGTAGCCAATCAGAACACAGGATTCGCTTCCTCTTGTCCACGGGCGCTGCGAGCGATTTTATAAAGTCACTATCTTATTAACTTAAAATGTGAGCATGGTTTTTCCTGCTAGTCGATAGTTATCGTTTGTCGCTGTTAAGTTTTGACCGTATTTCAATTCTTGAGTAACACGCATTTTTGAGACCGTCACCCCAATTTTTGCTTCCATTTTATCTTGAAACACGAACAGAAATGCCTTTCTTGTCTGACGTGATATCATCATGAGACAACTGATAATTGTTAGGGCATGATCACGCGGTAACCGTACTAAACAATTTTCACTACACAAAGGAAACTGCCGCTAAGCCAGTTTTTTTTTGTTGAGACATCTGAATTTATTAAACGACAAGCTCTCTTCGTAAATTTTGTGACCTATTTCATACACCAAAAGCCCTACAGTACACTTTCATTATTCCCTTCCTTTCAACGTAAGTGTACGCGTTAGCTGAGGTCAGGTCAAACTCGTGCAAAGGAGGCGGAGATTATAGTTTTGTTAGCTCCTTGATGACGAATCCCTTGACACACACGGCTTCCGGTCAGTGTTTTACACAGAAAGGGAATTATCACTCCTCAAATGCTAATCGTATCTTAGCCCGACAATCGAACAGAATCGAAACAAAAAATTTGAGGGAGTCATTTCGATTGCTCTCGATTTGGGAAGTAATCCAACCTGTATAGAATTTTCAACGACACGTACGAGAGCGAGCATAAAATATTGTGATAGCTCGTCAGTAATTGCAACATCTTACCTCAGAGGGTACATGGAAAGAAGATCAGAGATTCAAGAACACGAGAAGATTCAATTTGTTCGAGTTTTGTGTGTTGCCACGGTTCCAAAATCGAACTAAATCGCGTGGTTGAGCTCGATTAAGTTCAATTGAGTTCGATTAATTGATATTTCGATCAGCAACGTTGAGAGATCCAAGTTTCGCTACTTTGAATACAGAATGTTGACTTTCCAATTTAGTCAGGGCGAATTCGGATAACCTGTTCGTCAAATGCTAATTAACCGTTCGTTAAAGGCAAATGACAAGAACATTTGAGTACATTTGTGGCGCTCAGGTATCGGAAACGTAACGAACCTCAATAGACATTTAATCACTATGACAAAAGTAACTTTATCCACTTCTTTGGTAGCATAGCCTATCGCTTAGTCGTTCATAACGAGGGTTTCTCACACGGCAAACGCATTTTAAATTAGCGCGAAATAAAATACAGGCAGCATTACCTCAAAACAATATTCTGCCAAACGACAATAGTGTAGGCTCGATATTACCAGCCGCTGTTTGGGAACCGGAGCTCGCGCTCCTCCCCGAACCCACTTCTCAGGGAGGAACAAAAAAGACCGGACCCGAGAGAGCGGCGGATATCGAGCCTAACAATAGTGCTTCTTAGCAAAGTCTATAACTGAATCTTGTCACTTGAGCTGTCAGTCAATTCTGTTTCGTCTGACTTGCAGGATAACTGTGGACAATCTAGCGTGCGCGTTGTGGCCGGTGTGAATCACGTCCATCATATTACCAACTACTTTCACGAGCATGTCGCCACACGGTTGCATCCTTCGAGCGAGATCTAACGCGTTCTCTCATGTTCAAAATGGCAATGACCTCGCACCCGGTCCCTGTGTCTACATCACAAAAATTTGCATGTGCACTATTTTGGGACTACAGGCGACTGCCATTAGCTGAATCGTTGGGATGAGCATTCGACTGAAAGTTGATGGAAATATTCACTGGAGAGTTGTTGAACGATGCATTGGTGAACAATCCAGCTAGAACTCTTGCTGCTAGATCATCAATGCTGTTATTCATTGATGTTGTGTTATTGCCAACTACTCATGGAAGTGCAACGCTGTTGACATAAATTTCTCCCAAAGCTTAAGTGCGTGGACCGTAGCTGGCGTTGGCAGCTGTGACATTCGTAGTGGTACGACTGAAAACCCAGCCAACCTGCTTGACATCCTTTGTGTTTTTTTCTAGAAGATTATGGCTGCAGATGGATACTGAACCTGGGTTGGCGTGACCTGTTAGCTCGGAGATTGTTTTTTGTGGGCCGTGTTCACAGGATTTTCTCGCTTTCGGGTTGCCGCGAGCGAAAGAGGTTTTTCATGCCTCTCCAAGAATTTGAAGTTCAGTTCAAAACAAGGAAGAACCTCAGGCTCACTTTGAAAATGCTTTTGTTGTTTTTGCTCTTTAGAAGGTGACAATGGTTTTGAAAACATTTTAAACTGACTTAGCCTTAACCAAACTTTGTAACAATTTGACGATGGTTGTTTTGCTTACGCAGATGGGAGACAATTTCACGTAGCCTCGTTTTCAACTCGCAATTCCACGCTAAATACCTCGCTTCGTTAACCCATCAGAATGCGAGATTCTACTCAATGATGCGATTCTATAGAAAAATTCACTGCCTGACGAGTGAATTTC